ATCCCACAAAGTGCATACCCCAGGGGAAGAAAACAGATACTTAACAAAAATAGGATAAAGTTTCAGATAGCAATGAGATGAACATTCTTGAGAAGAAAATAAAACAGGATTATGGAATCCTGGACTCAAGAGCATGTATACACTATACACACGGAGGGGTATTTTAATAGGGTAGTATGACTCCTTATACACCAATCATTGGAAAATTACCTACTCACTCAAACCTCTGGTTATCCCCCTGCAAACTTATCCCAGCAGTTCTAACCTTAGAAATTATGAAAAAGCGTTACTTTTTCTTGACCTATTCCTTTACATAACCCTTTTGAGGTTTTCGGTGGTTTACTTTCTTCTCTGACAGCTGTGACTCTCTTATTACCCCTACCAACATCTGTTCTTAGGGGATAGTACCCAACTTCCCTGGGTTTTTCTTCCCAATACTTCTTCCCCTCCCAATCTAAATGTTCCGTGTTAGTTATTACTTTGGAATATCCAACCAATGATCCACATTAAGGCATCAGTGGTGAATGATGATTTCATGAGGGCAGGGCATTTGCACTTAACACAAAAAGTGTTTCAACAGTAACCACATTTGCATAGCTTCATTGTTTTAAAAGTACATCTGTATAAATTATCTCTTTGATATCCACAGCAGCCCTGGAAGTTAGGCAATCTAGATGTGTCATCAGGTTCAGAGCGTGGGATAATATCTGGCAAGAATGGAATCTGATGAGAGATCCTGGAAACAAGCCTCCAGCATGAGACCCCGGGCACCAGAAATCACAAAATGTGGATTCTAAGCCCACCCCTGCATTCACATTCCTTCTGCCTCCTAGGGGGCTTCAGCTTCCTCCCCTGAAAAAAAAAAAAAAAAAAAAAAACCAACACAGCACCCACCCATCCATGCACCCACCCACTGAATTGTCAGAAAGAACAAATAGTAGAACATCTATGGAAGAGCTCTGAAAGCTCTGATGTAAAAATAAGAAATTTTTGTCAAAAGTCATTTAAAAATTATCTACCAAGAGCAGTGCTAGGTGCCTGGGAAAGAGACAAGAACAAAATATGACATTAGAGCTCAGCCTCATCACGTATCCTTAGCACCCTGGATGGAGCTCTACACCTTACTTTCTAGTCTCTGCATTCCAAATTACAACTCTAGTAAGAGCCCAGGTACAAACGATGGAAGGCTTGGGTATTATATCCCTTCTCAGAAATGTTAAGGGCACAGAGCTCTTAACAAATGAACATGCGAAGTAATTTTGTGGGTTGAAGTCAATGGAATATACTATCAGTAAATACAATATAATGTTACCATAACACAGATACAGAATTTAGAGAGGATTCTGGCCTTGTCATATAGTCCATCATTGCCTGACAAGAATGGTTCGAAGGAAACAAGGACCCATAGATCTCTCCCCTTCACAGCTCGTCCTCAGAAAAGTTTTATAGTGGATGAAGTTTGTTTTTCAAGATTCTTGTTCCACTTTATGGTCTGTCCTGAGCACCTTCCTAACTCTAAATTCCAGGCCAGGAAACCCCTGATGGCCAGGAAATCTCTTCATTACTCTCACCCCCCTCCTCATCCTGACGCCTGCTGAGATGCACCTGCTGTGTGTGCAGTATTATGATGCCTTCCCCCTTAGGATCCCACTACCATAGCCCTGATCACTGAAAGTGACCTTTACTGTTTATTGAGATGACTCTATTTGCCTACTTTTAGTAGTGTACACGCTTTCCTGAACTCATAGTGCACAAAGCAACCCCTCTCAAAAAAAGAAGGTTTATGAGGAATAAATAACTGGGTAACCATCCACAGGACACGGGCACATGTTGGGGGTCTTCAGCATATTATCTAGATCTGTAGACTTTGAGTTATACTAGTATAGCCCAGCTGAAAGGGAAGTTCTCTTGTAACCTACTAGGGCTATCTGGAAGTGGCAGTGAGCGTTTCTGTTTTCTCCAAGTTATAGTACAGTCTTTCTGTCGGGTCCCACTCAGCTACCTGTAGTTCTAGCAAGGCTTGGGGCACCTATGGCTTTACCATCTCTAAAGCAGGACTTGAGAAGATTCAGACAGGAGACAGATGTTCCAGAAATAGAACAAAGCATAGAAGAACAAACCAGGCTTCAAAGGCAAGGAGGGTTGAGGGACAGAGGGAGATTATGGGGAAGGAAGGAACAGCAAGGTGGAAGACACTGACTGTTTCACGCAAGGCAACCCTGGACTGTGTTGGAGGCAAGGAGTTCCAGTTGTATCTAATAACAAAGTGGCTTGGGAAAGTGACAGCTACTTGCTGTAGCCCCAAACCTGCCCTTTTTTTGCCTTTTCAAAATTAGCAAAATGCTGCTGATCTAAATCTCAACAATGTTTTACCCTCATGGACTTGGTATTATTAATAAAGGTTCATTATAAAAGTAATAAAATTCTGGCTCAAAATTGAAAATACCAGAACCTTGATGTTATTTTAAAAGTAGGTTCCTTCAAGCCTGTTTTTATGTACTATAATGTAACAGCAAGAGAAGCCAGGAACTTAGGAATTGAAAAAATTACTTTGTCAGTGATCTCTAATATTGTCCTAAAGGTATGAAGGGTCATCCATGGAAATAGCCCCTTCTTAATCTGTTTCTGACCCGTACAAATATTTTTCTAAGGGAGTCAGGTTGATGTTTCTCTGTACAACCATTTTAATCCTTTTCTTTCAACTGATAAGCTGTTTTAGTATTGTGTAGTTATAGTCAGAGGTGAACATTATAAGGTTTCTGGATATTTTCTTGGAACCCTTTGCCCATTTTCAAATTTCAGGTATGTTATTTAGTCCTTGTCAACACCCCACGCTCTTATGCATAAAGTCAGTCAATACAGAGTGCACTTGTGGTGAAGACCATGAATTCTGGCTAGGAGCACATTAGTTTGTGAATACTAGTTTCACCTCTTATTGGCTATATAACTTTAGCCAACTTTCTTATACTCAGAGATTCAATTTTCTCATCTATCAAATGAAGATAATAAAAGTTCCTACTTCATACGATTGTCTTGTAGATTACATGGGAAGCCATATATAATTGTTTTAATGTTTATTTATTTTTGAGAGACAGACAGACAGACACAGAATCCAAAGCAGGCTCCAGGCTCTGAGCTGTCAGCACAGAGCCCGATGTGGGGTCCAGACCCATGAACTGTGAGCTGAAGTCAGACACTCAACCGACTGAGCCACCCAGGTGCCCCGATGGGAAGCCATATATAGAGCCTCGCCTAGGAGTCTCATAAATGTTAACTATCACTGCCCTTATCACCACTATCATTTGTGGACATCAAAGGCAGAAACACATTCTCCCTAAATCCTATAGGTTTATTAACCTTAAATCACCTAGCTGAAGGAAACCATAATAAAAAGTGGTTAATATCATTAACATTCCCTTTGTTATCACCAGAAGAAAGAATTCTGAAATAGGAAATATTCGCTGTGCACCTACTAACTTCCGGACACCATCCTGAGCCATTTTGTAGTGCTTCTTTTGATCATCTTTATGGCTATATAAATAGGGACTTTTATTTTCGCTATTTTACAGATATCAGAGTCTTACAGAGAGGTTATCCCAAGGCCACACACCCAGTACATGGTAAATGGGACCAGGACCAGGTCTTACTCCATAGCTTAGGCTCCTTCCTACTATAACTAGAGACATTATGCAGTCCACAGTAATCAGCACTGGCATCCTTCAGTAACAACAGTGGTTAACCACAGAGTAACATGGAATCAGGTGACCAAATGAACTATGGACAGTGACCTCTGCTTACTAAGGCTCTCAATGCCAAGCAGAACCAATGATTCACATGAACTCAGTGGGAACTGTGGAATACTATGGTCATCATCAAGCTGCCTGTTTACCACTTGAACAGAGACAGGAGACTTCTCTCAAGTCAGTCAACCCTGCACCCCTTATTTTATCAGGCACACGTTGCAACTTCCACCACAATAATCTGCATGAACCTTTTTATGTGGGGAAATAGACAAGCAGGACCCCCAAAGTGAAAGTACCAAACCCACTTAACATACATAATCTGGTCCACTCCAAGACCATGTTAATGCAAGTCTCAGGAGACAACCAGGTCAGAATACCACTTCTTTGCTCCACACCCAGCTAGTTGGTTTGGGGCTTTTTTCAAGGTCAAGAGTGGGCATGGGGAGGAGTGAATAGAATTGAACAGAATGAATTGAATTGAATTGAATTAGCCCCATCTCAGACAAACCTTTAGAGTTCTTTGAGAGGCTCAAAAGTTGTTGTTGACCTCAAAGATTTAGAACCAGGGATTTGAGAAAATTTCAGCAAACCTCATGAAGCTAGACCTTTAAATAAGGAAGGGGAACCTTGGATCCTCTCTTGAATCTTCGTGGACATCATACTGAACAATCATCCCATTATGGGTGTGTTTAAGAGTGGAGTATTATCATGTTCTTTTGAGAGCACGGATCAAATTACATTTTGGAAGGCAGATCAAATAGCACTGTTGGTTTGTGTTCATTCTCTCCTCCACTTTGTGTTCCTCAGAAAAATAAACCCCCATTACTTTGCCCTTTTAATTAGAATTAATCTCTTTGAATTTCAAATCTCCCAGGATTTCAAATACAAAACAGGAAAACAATGTCCTGGAGGTACCCTTGCAAAGATATCAAAATGAAAACAGTTATTTGGTAACAAAACAAGGCTGGTTTTCGACGATCTGTGCATCAGGGCTATTCCATACACTAGCCGGGAGGTGCCATTGTCCTCACACGGATGAAGAAACAAAGGCTCTGAGTGGTTAGCGGATCTCAGTCTGGTTGGGGGAGCTTTAAAAAATACTGGTGCTCCAGACAAATTAAACAGAAGCTTGGGTGGGGCTAGGAAGCTAGTATTTTTCAAATGTTGCCCTGGTGCTTCTGATTTGCAGTTGGGGATAAAAATGAGTAGAAGCAGGTGTTCCGATGTGCCAACACGAATCCTCTGGAGCTTACTTACCTCTGTTCCCTTCTAAAAATAAGTCACGTCACCATCTCCATTTCTTTTTTACACTCTTTCAGGGAGCTTTTATGGGCAGAAATCTCATTGAAGTGTTCTTCCCTTTTTCTGTTTTTACAACTCCTAACTGGTCATTAATCCATCAACATCAGTAATTCCTTGACCTCTTGCACTTCACCTGAAAGTCAAATAAGGATTCTTTTGAGATGAACCAATGGAGTGCGTGTGTGAGGCAGTGTGGTTTTCGTATTTACTTGGGTAAATGTCACAACTAAAGACAAAATCTTGTTCAAAGTCCTCAGTGACAGAAGAATTCGCATGTAAATGATTTTCATTTGAATTCTAAAAAAGCAAGACAAAAAGCGCCTAGAGGAGAATAGATGCCTGCCTGCTTGCCTTTCAGTCACTAGTGAGATTAGGGCCTTAAAACTAGAAGAGCTCCAATGCCATTCCATGACTCAGGCTATATGGAATTTTCAAAATAAAGAATCGCTTTGATTTTTGAGAATAATTTTATGCTTTATCGCATTTTTAAATGCACATGATCATAAAGTTAGGCAGTCTTTAAAGGATGTTATAACCCCCTGAAAGTTTAGAACTATCACATTGAGTCAGAATTCCCCACCACTTATTCTCTTAGGATCTGGTGCTACTGGGTTATAAAAATAGCCAATAATGCTGAACACTCATGAGGTCTCAGGCCCTAATCTGCGTGCTGCTCAGGTTAACAGGGTTTCTTTCAAAACCCTCTGAAGTAGGTAAGCTTCTTACCTGGCGAATGGTGGAGCCAGAATTCTACGAATTTAAGTAAATTTCCTTCCTCCTTTGGTCTTTCATAGCATCCATGCTGGAACAAGGTTTAAAAATAATAAGAACATAGCATAACTCAAGAGTTGGAGGGCATTAGAACTGGAGGGGCAGCCCCGGCCCCTCCATTAAACCCACCCAAGTGTGTGTTTGAGTCAAACCACCACTAGACCGGAGGGCATCACTGTTTCCAAGAGAAATTAGCTGCTTCCCCCAAACTGAAACATCTATCCCTCTCAGCAAAGCCCCCCAAACAATGGGTGTTTGGAGCAACAGCCATTTCCCTGGCTCAGAGCCATGGTTCTCAAACCTTAGTATAAAGAAGAATAACGTGAGGCCCTTGTTAAAATGTGTCCTTTCCTAAGACAGCCTGATTAAGTGGGTTGAGGGTGGAGCCCCAGATCTTTGAACCAGGCGCTCCCAGTATTTCCCACGCCAGTGGTATGCAAACTTGACGTAACGCACCAAGTTTGCAAAGGTCGTCACTGCCACCATTTATATACCATGGGTCACGCATATAAATGGCTGGCTGGTCAGAGGGGTTTCAAGTAAATAATTTTGCCAACGTTTATCTATTTTGAAAAGGCAAATGACTCCGGGCGGTGTGGTTTAGTTTCATAAATATTGCCACAATTTGATCAATGGCAATATCTTTGGGTCCAGAGACCTTTCTTCCTAGGATCTTTGAATGTTTCATTTAGGCCATTCTTTAAAATGAGATTAATCGGTTCTAATGAAGATGGGTGCTCATGTACAAACTCCTACAAAAAAGAACACAGCAAAATCATACATATGAATTTAGTATTTTGATGTATTCTGCACACCACCCAAACAGTAAACTTAGGGATAGTCTTAGAGATCTTCTAAATTTTTTATTTTAGATGAAGAAACTAGAACTAAAAAAAAAGTGAAGTGTCTTACCCAACAGCGCACATAAGACCTACGATTGTCTCCTTAATGAGCTTCTCTCACTACTATACCATGAAGCTCTGTACCCCCTGGTCTGTCTCTTATATTGTAATTCACAGGTGCTGGGGAAGTAACCATGCCTTGACAAGCAGGCTGGATTCCAATTAAAATCACCATCGGTGTCAGTTCCTGAGGCACAAAGTGCTTGAGGGTTGAACAGCTGGCCCCCCCAAATAGGCTAAAAGTCAAGAATAAATCGTCTGGGATGAAACCCTTGCTCTAGATAATAAACCTTGTGTGAGACCTACAGGAATATAATAAGTATCAGTTTTTACAGAAGAGACATTAAAGGCTTGGTCTGTATGTCGCTGTAAAGTTTGCAAGATTCAGGTAACAATTCCTGGAGGAAAGGAGAATGTGCCGACCTATTGTGCACATTGACCAGATGACTTGGCCAAGGTTATACAGAGTCAGGATAGGTCTGCAGAGAACAGTGATGTCCTGACTCTGTGAGGTATGGTTTAGTTCCAGCCACACTGTCTCCCGACTGAATCTTCCCTGTTGATTTACAGTCATAGGTACCAGGAGGCAGAACCAAGAGTCTAAGACTGTAGGACTAATCCAAAATGCCTCAGAATTCAAGGTGAAGTTAAAAGCAACAATTCCTACTAGAAATCTGACCTAAGCTGTATAGGTAGGAAGACACCTATATGTAATTACCAACATGTCTTAGTTTGTGCCAATCACATGGGAAACCTGACTCATGTGTTTGTTAAATGGGCCAAGTTCTGAATATGATTACAACCCCTCTGAGACCACAGCGGTAGTTATTTCTCGGATTTTACTTTGGGGAATGGCATTTGAGTGGCTTTGCCTTGCTCAGCCATAAGCAGGATATAAGCTTAGTGTCCAGGGTAAGGCTTGGCAGTCTAACGTATGGTGATGCGTTGCTCTTTGCACTAAGCAGCAGAGCAGTGACAGAAGGCAATTTGGGGAGATCCCATCACACTTTATTTGGAAAACAGAGTCGTCTCTGATGGAGGGAAGGTTACTGGTCTGGGTTTGCATGTGTCTCTGTAATTTTTACATAGCTTTTGAATTAAAGCAGATAAAAGGCCTGATGTATAACCCAGGTAAATAAAACCTACGAGACTCAAATAGGCCCCAAACAGGTTTCACTGTTTTGATCAGCTAATTACTTCCACTACTCATCTTGTAGGGAGTCCAGAGAAAGGCATTTGAAAAAACAGGAACCTGTTGTTACAAGAACTCCAATTCAGTATTCACAATAGGCTATTGAAAAACAAGGGAGGGAGACATCCCTGCAGACCCAGGGACGTCTTTCAGGCAAAAGGACTGGTCTGGGTGTTCAGGGTCCCTGGGCCCCGGGAATCTTTGATTTTACGCCTCATCCCCTTCTGGCACAGTGGCAGAAGCCTCCAGAAAAGCGTAGGGTTGGAGTGGAGATGGGGCACCCAGGAAGTCCTGTGTGCCATGTGCCACAGGCCAGGGGAGGTCAGCAGGTGTGAGTGCCAGGTCGCCTGCCCCTGCAGCACGGGGAGGGATCATCCCCTACCTTGTTGGGCCCAGCCTAACACAGCCATCTGTTCACCACCAGCTGGTGCCAACAGCCATGTCAGCACAGAACATCTCAAGTGTTCCTCTGAAGCAGCTGAGCCATGAGCTACTTTCCCTTGCCTTCCACTCTTTGCCTTCACTTTCCCCTGCTCAGCCCTCTGTCCTTGAAAGAGAAAAGCAAAACGACTTCATTTTGTGGAGGCTGCCGCTCCTAATAACTCTTAATGATGAAGTGCAAGAGACCATTAAGATCTGCCTCGCTTGGCTTTCACTCGCCAGTCTCCATGATAGTCCTGATGGGGCTGCGGTGTGTGATCTGAATACACAAAGCGGCTCAAATACAGGCGGGTGGCTGAGCAAACCGCCTACCCCTCCTGCAGCCTTTGCTCTGAGACAGGAAAGAGCATTCTGGGATAACCAGTTTCAGAGTTTCTGAGGGGAAGGGACAGGGCCATCTGAAATGAGGAAGGGAAAACTTTAGCCTTTCTGGGAGGGACAGTGCAGGGTGTACGGAGAATGGGCTCTGAAGTTATAACAATTTGGTTTAAAAATCCTTGTTCTACTGACATGTCCAAGAGGTGTTCCCAAACCATAAAATCTTTAAGGCTAAGAAGGTTGAATGAGAATCCGCGTGTAACATGTAGGATAGTGCCTGGTACAGAGCAGGCAGCGTTTGTCTAATTATAAAACTAAGTAAAACCTGCTTTCTACCAGAAAGGTCAAGATTAATGAGATGGGCCCTCCATGTTGACTTCCTTTCAAAAAAGAAAGGGATGCTGCTGGGAACTATCCTCTGAGCAACCTAAATAACCAACTCACCCAGAGTAAAGCACAAAAATCTACAGGTTGATAGAAGCTTGCATGCTTGATGTACCATCCCCCTTGGAGATCTACAGGAGGAGGATGGTGGCAACAGGGTAGCAAAAGAGGGGAGAAAGTGATCCAGATATCCCACAAGTCCATGCCTGCCCAGAGCATCCCAGGAACCTCCGGAGGACCAGAGTAGATGACGCGGCACCTTACGGTAATATCACACCTGCTGTTACTGGCTCTTGCAAATAGGAGTTCAATCTCACAGTTATTCATGTCTTCTATAAGCCTACTGTGCAAGGTATTCCGCCAAGGTAACTGAGAGGACTTCGATACTAACAAGGGAGCTGAACGGAAAAGAAACCGAGTATCCTGCAAGTTCTGTTTATGTGCTTAAAGGAGCGATTTCGGATCCTGCCTCAACTTTTAGTAAACTGATCAGCCAGCTTTACCCACATGGTCTTTGCAAAAGAACAAAAAGAGCTACTCTTACTTTCCACCAAGATAGATAAGCATTTTACCTATAGCATTTCAACAGCACCCTGAGGTGGGTGTCACTATCCCCATTTCACAGATTGGAAAATTGAGGCTTGAGAAATTAATCCACCTGGGGTCACACATTCAGTTGTGACGACAGGATTTGATGGCACAAACATGCCCTATGCTCTACTCATCGCGAATATCAGTCGCCTGTCCTACTCCTTGTATGGACCACGATTTTCCTATCTTCAGAAGAAGATGCACTCGGGATTACTGGCGAACAAAGCTTTGAGAATGGCCACTGGTACGCATGGCATAGTGAAAGGTACGATGCTGCCTGCAGTGAACAAGTACTTGCAGTGACGGCGGGAGGTCCCAGCGCAAGCCCCGAGATGGCTTCTCCCTTGTTGCGTGATGTTGCACCCATCACGTATTGTCCAGAAGCCCAGTGTCCTCACCTATAAAGTGTGCCCCCTCATAGAATTGTCACAATCAGTGCAGTAATGTAGGTGAGTCGGCCTTCCTATTCTTAAGGCTCTAGGCCAATGCCAGCTATTAATAATGATTCAATTAGCTTCAGTTCCACTGAGGATTTGCTCTTGAATCTTTGGAAAGATCTCCTGATACCTTAGCTTCCTCATCTATAACCTAGAGCTGTCGATACAGAACCTTTTAGCAATTCCCTCCAATAGCCATTCACAAGCTTTAGTGACCTATAATCTCTTGGGATGTTGTTAAAGCAGATTCCTGGGCCCCGGTGATTCTGATGCAGCCCAGCTGGATGGAACCGTGTACCATTCACGCTTGAGGACCCCACGTGATTCTAATGTAGACGGGTCATGATCACTCTGAAAAATGCTGCCCTGCAAGCTCAGTTTCACAAAGAACTGTGCTACCTGTGGGCAAAGAAATTGACCCAAGATCATCTGGTAACACAGCCAACACCAAACATTTGACTTCTGATGTCTAGATCCCATTGTTCTGACCACAGGAGGGGAACTCCAGAGAAGAGGAAAACCTCCTCCTGGTCACGAGGTTTCCGTCAGGGGATTTGACCCTAGAGTACATCGCGGAAGCTTCCAGTACTCCACGGACCTAAAATATTGAGTGTCACTGCCTTTTTTTTCTTCCTCCACAGATACGTTTGCAAGCAAAGTGGCCGCCACCCAGGACCAGTACGCAGATGCATCCATAGGTAACGTCACTGGCAGCAACGCGGTGAACGTCTTCCTGGGAATCGGCGTGGCCTGGTCCATCGCTGCCATCTACCACGCAGCCAACGGGGAACAGTTCAAAGTGTCCCCTGGCACGCTAGCTTTCTCTGTCACTCTCTTCACCATTTTTGCTTTCATCAATGTGGGGGTGCTGCTGTATCGGCGAAGGCCGGAGATCGGAGGTGAGCTGGGTGGGCCCCGGACTGCCAAGCTCCTCACATCCTGCCTCTTCGTGCTCCTATGGCTCTTGTACATTTTCTTCTCCTCCCTGGAGGCCTACTGCCACATAAAAGGCTTCTAAAGGAACAATCAGATATAGTAAATTTATATATATATACGTATATAAATATATACATAAAATATTATGTATAATGAACAGAGGAAACTGACATTTGTCATGTTCACTTACCTGCTGATGGAACCCAGCTTCAAGAGCATACTCTGTACTAGGGCGGAAGTGAGAAACCATCACCTCTTATTCCCAGGGGGCATCGCCACTTTGAACGAGGCACGGAGGCAGGGGCATCTGTGCAGCTCAGCCTAGAAGGACTGTGTTCTCTCCAGGTTCATAAATCATTAAGTCTTTGTTTTCTGTTTCCGCTTGTTTTTGGTGGGGGCTGGGAGGTGGCTGACGTTTGACTTTTATTTTGTATTATTTTGTTGGGAGGGTCAACGTTTCTGTTTCCCTTGCGGGAGGTGATGACCAATCTAAGTGCAAATGGGTTTTTGGTAAAAATTTAAATCGCTACAATTGCCCTCTCTTCCAAACACTTGACAAATTATTTGGGATTCAGAAAGGACATGGGCACTGAAGAAGAGGCAGGTCTTCACTCGATCACTAAATTTCGTGCTTCTCTCTGGGACATGAGCAGAGATAAAGCTGCCTCCAAGAAGAAGCATGGGCGCTTGAATGGAGCCAGGAGAAGTGAGGGCTCTAGATACAGTCTGACATTTAAAGATATGATGCCTGACAGTCTTGTTTAACAGGTACAGGAATAACGTGCCTAGATTCCCAAGAACGTGCAAAATCATTTACTTCTTATCTCTTCAGGTCTGGACTATGATTAGCAAGGCCCTTATTCTGATTTTCCAGCCTGGCTAACCCCCAGGTCCCCCATCCCAATCCTCCTCCTCCTGCCCACCATCTCTCAAGCAAACAGGAATAACCCCATTCAAAAAAGCACATCATCGTTTTCCATTTGCATCATGTGTGTCCCAGTCCCATGTTCGCTGTTGCCTGGGATCATTTGTCAGCTTTATTTTTGAAAGTATCCATGGCTTGCACAATCCTGTTCCAGTCATGACTGAACATTTGCTCCTTCTTCGTGTGCCTGTTGGGGAATGTTGTCGTGATACCTGTTACACAGTGCATGGATGAAAAACAAAATAAGCGTATCTGTATATAGTAGAGTATAGCGCATACTGTTCTCCCATTCAGCAACGTTGACTGGACATTGAAGATATAAGTGAGTCTCCTTTTCACCTGAGTTGTAACGTTTGTGTTGTGAGTTTGATTTTACTAGGGATAAAAGGAGAAAATGGCTTATTGTTCATGGACTTGCACATTCGTTTCTAAGAAGCAATAACAGTTCGTTGGGAAGTTAAAGCTACTGAGAGGACAGCAGGCAAACTACCAACTATCTTCATGGAAAATTAGCCACGTGGAATACACCAGAGGCCTCTAAAGAATCACCTCTTGATGATTCAGGAGGGCGAAGGAGAAAGGTGTAGAGCAGTGGCCAGATTCGATGTGCCCAGGCTTTGAGAGCCTCCACCTCCCTGACACCCACCCCTGCCCTGCCCCCAAAGTATTTATTTCACTTCTGCTCTGTCTGGGACAGATGGCAGATAGTGGTTTGTTCTTTTTTTTTTTTTTTTTTTTTTTTTAATGTAAAAGGCTATTTTGAGCCCTGTTACTTTCAACATCCAGACTCCTCTGATTGTACCTGCAGTTCCTGAGTAGGAATGAAGCCAGGGAGACGAATGGGCCTTTAAAAGTGCATCTTCTGTACTTGTGACTAAGGAGGAAGCAATTTAATGAGATTAGTGCCTCCCAGGAGGATTGCACTGGGAGGTTTTTAACCCTGGAAAAGGAATGGCTCTTTCTATTTCAGAATACCAAAGAGCATGGATAAACCCAACATTCCAAAGTAGTGAGTCTAGTAAGGAGGCAAAATGCAATGACTTTGGTCCTGTCTCAGAGACTTCTCTATAGAGCATCCCAGGCCAGAGACACCACTGGCCCTCTGTATCGATTCAAAGATACTTAAGAGATAAAAGCTGTTCAGAGTTACTTTCTCTTCTTCCACTCATTAATCATGATCACTCATCATTTCATAAACATCCAGTGACTGAATGAATAATTAAATGCTGGTTACTACTCAATATACCAGGTACTGTGCTACTCTTGGGGACTAAACCATGAACAAGACAGCCCAGATCCCTGCCCTCAGTGGGCTCACAGCTAATGTGATTGCTCTCTCGGTGGGTAAAAGTGATCACAGCCATATGAAAAGTTTTATCTTGCAGGGAAAAAACAATTATAAAACTCTTAACATAAACACACTGAAACTGTACAAATACAATTGTCCAAATATCTAAGATTTTAACTTAAGAGATAAAGCACAGGTTAGGGGAAGCATCCTATGTATCCTTGGCCAATCTTGCAGATCTGTACATCTCCCCATTGTAAGCCAAGAAAGGCAATCATGTTGGTGATCGAGAGGACTGAACGGGTCCAATTAATCCCAGTTTTTATCTTTGTTGGACAACAGTACTTTTCTATGCCCCACACCTCTACTGTTCCTCATATCTCCAGGAGACTCACCCCAGCAGGCCGTGGTCCAAAACTGGTGGCCTCTTTTGGGGGCACATTCTAACCCATTTTTTTTAAGATTTAGTAAATGGAAAGCTAGCCTAGAAACACCAAGTAAATATAGTCAAAGGACATGAGTTGTTTAAATATTAGATTTTTGCACTCAATTTTAGCCATATTTGGAATGTCAATAATCCCGCAGATTTTCACAGAGGACTTTCAGAAATTCTTGCCACTGAATTTTAATTTCAAAGCTTTTTGGTTTGTTTGCTTTTTAAAGTTTCATGTTATAGGGAAAATATGATTCTGATTGTTCAGGGTTGTTAATAATTGTAGTTGTGTAAAATTTCATTTTATTTTGTGTGTATTGTGCACAGCTTTAGGGGGGAAGTGCACTAATTGTGCTGTTCCTTATAAATGGTACACGTTATTGGCACAAATAAAGTTTCTAATTGTTTCTGACTTAATCACTAGTGATACAGCATATTCTGTATGGAATGTTTTCTCTCATTGTCATCTACTTCATTTTTGTTTTCATGTTTTGAAGAAATAAAGACCAAAAAGGTATTATTGTGCAATTGGTATCCTCATCCAAAAGACAGACAATAGATACCCAGTATTCAGACTCTTGCAAATGTCAACCCTTTGGTCATATAGTATTTCCTTTTTAATGTCCCAAGAGAGCACAGTGTCAGAATATGTATCTATCTGATGGTACGGAGATAAATGTTGGATGTTTCTCCATTTCACTAATTTTTTTTTACATCTTTTAGTACCCTTTATCTGCCTCCTTTCTGCATCCAAGAACATTAACCCATAAACAGTTACACATCCAACCACTTGTTAGAATATTGTAGCTAATAAATCAGTTCTGATAAAACTGGTCCAAGCGATAGTCTTCTGGTATCGATATATTATATTCCTCTTGATCCCTAATAGAACTTCCTTGCATTAATTTCTGACTAATTACATGCTAGTGACTTTATGTGTCATACAATCAATAATATAGGAAGAGGTGACACCAGAAATAAGCACTTGCAGGGGGAAAAACGTGACCTCTAGTTTGTACTTATTTGCAAGCCCACATAAATTATCAGTGGATTTAGTTCTTACAATAGAATCCACTGTGTTCATGTAAATGATATTCATCTGATAGTCTTTCAAATTTGCTTTAGAATTCCTCGTTATGTCCGTATATAATGTGGCACACTTTCACATGTGAAGGAAATAAGGTATAATTTAAGTATTTTCTTGGATCAGCAATTAATGTCTCCCAGTTACCAATCTTTGGTATAACACAAAATGAGCAGCCGATATTTATTTCTTTAAATAACAAAGAGTAATTCAATGACCAGAGTAGTCTTGACTGTTTACCCTTCAAGGAAATGCCTTGGCTCAATGCTTCTCAACCTCTTAGAAGATAATTTTCTTTCAAACATGATTCAAGCCTACCACCAGTAAAGATTTGAGAGCTTTGCTTTCTATATAGCACACACATTTTCTTCTTGCTTTTCAAAGAAAAAAATATAAAATTTGCTCTTTTAAACCACCTTGCAGGCATTCTGATAGGTGGATCTCATTTGCAATGAGAATCCCTAACACAGCATCTTTCCCCCAGTGGTCTCAGTTAAAAGAAGCACATTGCCTTTTCCACACAGGGAAATTCATTGTTGATTCCACAACCCAGGATCCCTGATACTGATCTGTCAATCTGACTGGTCTGTTCTACGCATATCTGAGAACTTTGTGGAAGGAATTAGAAAAAAATTTCCTCCGGTAGATGATGAAGCCCTCCATTCTCAAACACTGTCAAAACTTTACCTCCTCAAGAATATAAGTCAGCCCCTTTAAGACTTCTTCTAAAAAGCATTTCCTGGCTCATGATGTTGAGGGTCTCTTTTGATTCTGCTTTTCTGTCTCTGATCTTGGGCAGTTGCATTCAGAGCAAGTTTTGCATCTAGTTTCATAACTATATAATGGCCATTTCGTGATTGACAATGCACCACCTTAGATCTCATCCAGACCTACACCTGGCATTCACAGCTTTTGTTACAGTAATCACTTGAAAGCATTCTAGCTATGGGCAAAATTGAGCATTTTAATGGATAAACAAGTGAGTGCACTAGGCAGAAGAGCTTTACACACTCATATTTTTCTTAAAAAGATGCTGTTATGAGTGCATGTATTAGCTTTCCTTCAGATCTACCTACAGATTTTTGTTAATGGACGGCACTTTTACTCTTCAATATTATGTTCCTATCACTTCTAGCCATGTTCATGGTCTTCCACCCAGCACATTTAAAGTGCTGTGTGGTCCAAATGGTATTCCACCTACAAGGATGACAAAGGAAGGGGAAACAATTCCAACAGTTAGAGATTTCATTTTTGGAGCTTAATCAGGCCATGGTTAATCATCTCCCAAGGCAGAGATGTCTTACCTATAGAAGGAACAACCACTGAGCGTTGGGTCTCCCAAGAGAGAGAGCACTTAAGCTTTCCAGCGCACAAGAACTGGTGAGTAGCTTTCTGTGACTTTTTCCCTGCCTGCCAAGATGTCCCAAAAGATTTCCTCAGAGGCTCTACCAATTTTCAATTTTGCCAAGTTTCCTCTGATTTAATCTCCTAAGGGACATTCAAATCAACAGTCATTGTATATATTATTATTTTGATTTATTTGTAGGAAAGAACATTCCTTCACAACTTCAAAAGGCAATATGACTTTGTAGTTAAAACCACGACTCCTATCTTTACAGGAAGACTTGCTTGCCCAGAATCACCTTATCTGTAATCAGTGCAGGTCTTCACAGCTCCTTGGTCTGCTCACATTCTTTAGAATCAGGCTGTCCTAACCTTTATCAAAGATCCAGAGAGGTGTTCCCTTGGAAATATGCAATCTTAGTCTTTCTTTTCCCTAATTCCAAACCTTTGTATTTCTTCCAAGGCTATTCCCATCATATTTCATCATCCTTAGTACTGCTCACTATTACCTCTCAGCAATAGGGAGAGGCTCATGATAAAGTCCTCTGGGCATGTTTTTCTGAAAGTGAATTTACCATAGGAAGAAACCAATATAATGGCATTCTACTTCGAAAACAATCATTACAATAGGTATCTCTATAAATGTTTGGGACAGATTATACCCTAGCAGCTATATACTGCAACAGTATTATTGATTTTATTTCCTTTTGAATTTTTCATTCTTCAGTGTCTTCTACCTAGCTTTTTATTCTATCAAAATATGTAGGTATGGATGAGAATTAAGGAGCTCACCCCCAACACACACACACACACACACACACTCAACTCTTGTGAAAGTTTCTACAAAAGTGAAGCATGTAAACCTAGAAAACCCTAACGTATAGCTTTCATGCCTCCCCAAAAATTTGGGTAAAAAAGTTTCTTTGTGGGTTTTATATTCCTGGCATGTAAAGGATAGTAAAATTTCACAATAACCAAACACACCAAAAAAGAAATTAGCTAACTTCAATGTTACTGAGTCGATTTTGACAGTTAATGCACAGCCCAGCTCTCCTTATTTGTTGGCTGCAAAGACAAATCTACGTAGCCAAATCCAGGAGTGTACTGGGGGTGACAGGGGAATTAATGTACTGGAATTCTTAGGCAGCCCTCTGTACTGGAAGCTGTTTACCCACCAAGAAGGATCTGGTCCAGAGATTTCCAAAGACCTCTCACCTACATTCCCAAGTTGAAATAACCCACTTAATTTACAGAACTTTTTGTCAGACCCTTCTTGAAGCCACATGGTAGGACAAGAGATAAATTCTCTAGGGAGAGCTTTCTTAAAAATGTGATACTATTTGTTTTGACCTATCTTCTAATATGAAGTTTCCATTCTTTCCAAGTGGAAGGAATGATTCTAATAACCAAATATATAACCACTTTTCAAAATATTTCACTTAAAAAATCAACTGTATAAATATTTAAGATAAAAGTTATATGACCCAGATAGCTAGTTCTGAGAAAAATAGTTTAATTTTCTCTATAGGTACATTTCTCTGCCTTCTTATATTTACCATTAAACTTGGAAAAATGCTCCAAAGAAGAAATCTCGAGATTTTACATTCTAATGTTCAATAAGTAATATGGATAAGATAATGTTTTAGGTGAAAGTTAATTAGTTGTTGACAGAACGTACTTAAAAATGAGAGAATTTAGCACGAATAAAATGTGTGAGGTAAGATTTCATCACTATTCTTGTCTAAAATATTTGAAAGTCATTAACTTTAAGGAAGAGAAATTTCCAGTTTCCCAAAACAGGACAATTTCAGCTTGTATTGTTTTTATATGGAAATCAAAGCTGGGCATACATAACTTCTGGCTTTGGCAACCCCCAAAAAGTATGCTTTGGGCAGCCTTTTCCATATTATCGAGTTATTTTATGGAATACACTGGATCTATACAGATGTCTCATAAAAATGCCTTCAATAATTTCCCTCTTTTTTGGGGGGAGGGGGAGGGCAGGAAGTTTCTACATTTCAGAATTTGACAATTTAATTTATAAAAGGCTGATTTCATTTTGATGTTAACATTTCAGAATTTTAATATTTTAAATAATCATCAGATGGGCTATTGAGCTTGAGTCTAACCCAAATAAACAATAAAGCTCAAACAGACCTATCAGTAGTTGAAAGGCTTCTGAAACACTGGCCTTTTCATGCAAATAAAAGAGTTGTTTTCAATCTTTTTTTCCTACCAAAAGTTGCCATTTCAACCAGTGTAAAAAAACATTTGAAATGGTGGTTTGAAGATTAATTCGATATGAATCAGACACAATTTCAGCATTAAATCTCCTCTGTCCCATCTCTCCCTAGAGTATAGACAGATATATATAAATACAAAAACACACAACGTATGTCAGATAACTTGAACTATGTTTTTGGATGTCTAAGATTACCCTAAAAGCCCGTGTCAGGTTAGTGTTCATTTTTATCAAAATCTTTTATAAATGAGAAAAGGGAGGGGGCGCCTGGGGGGCTCAGTCGCTTAAGCGTCCAACTTCGGCTCAGGTCATGATCTCACAGCTTGTGGGTTCAAGCCCCACGTCGGGCTCTGTGCTGACAGCTCAGAGCCTGGAGCCTGCTTCAGATTCTGTGTCTCCCTCTCTCTCTCAAAAATAAAGATTTTTAAAAATTTTTTATAAATGAAAACAGGGAGAGAGATACAGAAAGAAATGTTTTCCTGATTCTTTTCTTTTTTTGCTAAAGATGCAAATTCAAAGTTGTTTGAAAGCTGCCTAGAATGTTAATCATATATATCCTTCTAAAAACAGGAGATCTTTAAAAGAAAGAAATTCACTTTTCTTCCCTTCATTTAGCAAGCATTTTTGATAGTCTTTAGGATCGATTAGAGCACCTTTCTGACTTTTCCAATTACCCTCTGTTTTTTTGGAGGGTGTTGAAAACAGCTCTTGAAAAAAAATTATGCTCATCTAGGTCAAATCCTGAGGGATTAAAAGAATGAGATTTTATATTTTCCCTGGAAACATAGCACTGAGCAGGCAGACTCCCATACATCACTTGACATTTTCTAGAAATATGTTTTGGCAC